AAATGTTTCAAGTCCTCTTCACTTTCAGCAAGCAAGGTTGTATCATCTGCATATCGCAGGTTGTTAATGAGGCTTCCTCCAATCCAGATGCTTTGTTTTTCTTCATAGAACCCAAACCCAGCTTCTCGGATTATCTGCTCAGCATACAGGTTGAGTAAGTATGGTGAAGGAACACAACCTTGTCGCACACCTTCCCCAATTTAAAACATTCAGTGTTCCAATGCTCTGTTCGAACAACTGCTTCTTGGTCCAGGTATAGATTTCTCAGAAGTACAATTAAGTGTTCTGCAATACTCATACTTCTCAATGTTGTCCATAGCTTGTCATGATCCACACAATCAGAAGCCTTTGCATACTCAATAAAGCATAGGTAAACATCTTTCTGATACTGTGTGCTTTCAGTCAAGATCCAACAGACATCATCAATGATATCTTTCATTCCATCGTGTCTTCTGGATCATATCATCTGCAAATAAAGAGAGTTTTACTTCCTCTTTGCCAATTTGGATGCCTTTAATTTCCCTGTCTTTCCATATAGCTCTTGCTAAGACTTCCAGCACAATATTGAATAGGAGTGGTGACAAAGAGCATCCTTGCCTCGTTCCTGTTCGCAGAGGGAAGGCTTTCAGTTTCTCTCCATTTGAGGGTAATGTAGGCTATTGGTTTTGTATATCTGCCCTTAATTATGTTGAGAAATTTCCCTTCAATTCTACTTTGTTGAGTGTTTTTATCAGGAATGGATGTTGGATTTTGTCAAATGCTTTTTTTCATCAATTAATATGAACATGTGGTTCTTTGCTTTTTTTCTCATTTATATGGTGGATTACGTTGATTGTTTTTCTAATGTTGAACCATCCTTGCATCCCTGATATGAATCCCACTTGATCATGACGTATTCTCTTTTTGATGTGCTGCTGGATTCTGTTGGTTAGGATTTTGTTGAAAATTTTTGCATCTATGTTCATGAGGGATATTGGTCTATAATTTTCTTTCTTAGTGTTGTCCCTCCCTGGTTTTGGTATGAGGGTTATGCTTGCTTCATAAAATATATTAGGAAGTTTTCCATCCTCCTCTATATTCTGGAATAATTTGAGTAGAATTGGTGACAGCTCTATCCTAAATGTTTGGTAGAACTCACCAGTGAAGCCATCTGGGCCTGGACTTCTTTAAGTTGGGAGTTTTTTGATGACCTGATCAGTTTGTACTTTTGTTATGGGTCTGTCTTCAGTTTTTCTGTTTCACTCTGTGTAAGTTTAGGTAGGTCATGTTTATGTCAAAAGGTATCCATCTTTTTCTAAGTTTTCAAATTTGTTGGAGTATAACTCTTCATAGTATTCTGTTATTATCCTATTGATTTCCTTTGGTTTCATTGTGCCATCGCCCATGTGGTTTCTAATGCGTGTTATTTGTGTCTTCTCCCTCGTTTCTTTCGTTAGGTTTGCCAGAGGTCTGTCAAATTTTGTTAATCCATTCAAAGAACCAGCTTCTTGTCCTGTTGATTCTTTCTATAGTTTTTCTGTTTTCTATCTCATTTATTTATTTCTGCTCTAATCTTTATTATTTTTCTTTTGGTGGCTGTAGGTTCCCTCTGTTGGTCTGTTTCTAATTATTGCAGATGTTGTGTTAATGTGTCAATTTTGGTTCTTTCTTCTTTTTGGATGTGTGCATTTATTGCAATACATTGTCCCCTCAGCACCGCTTTTGCCGTGTCCCAAAGATTTTCGTATGGTGTGTTGTATAGTCACCTTTAAATGTTGTTGGAAAAATATATTGGCAATGAAGATGTCACTGGTCTTGCAAAATTTTATCTCCAGCATCGTTTCAGTCACCCAGGTCGTATTTTCCCACTACCGATCCTTTTTCTTTGTTTCCATCTTTCATATTCCAATCACCAGTGATTATTAATGCATCTTGATTGCATGTTTCCTTAGTTTCTAACTGAAGAAGGTGGTGGTGGTAGTGGTTATGTGCCACCAATCAACCTGACTCATAGCAACCCTATATTGGGTTTCCAAGGTTATAAATCTTTATAGAAGCAGAAAGCTTCATTTTTCTACTTTGGAGCAACGGGTAGATTCAAACACTTGACCTTGTGATTAACAGCCCAACTCATAATCCACTGTGCTACTGGGGCTCCTTGAAGAAAGTTGGCAGAATTCTTCAATTTCATCATCACTGGCTTTAGTGGTTAGTGCATAAATTTGAGTAATATTGGTCTTCCTTGTAGGCTTATGGATATTCATCTATTACAGACAGCATTATATGTCAAGATCTTAAAATGTTCTTTTTGACCATGACTGTAACGCCAATCCTCTCCAATTTGACATTCTTAGCATAGCAGTCCATATAATTGCCTGATTCAGAATGGCCAATACCAGTCTATTTCAGCTCCCTGATGCCTAGGATGTGGATCTTTATGCATTCCATTTTACTTTTGATGACTGTCAAGTTTCCTAGATTCATGCTTCGTTCATTCTACCTTCCGATTATTAGTGGATGTTTACAGCTCTTTCTTCTTGTTTTGATTTTGTGTCCCATTGGCACATGAAGATCCTGAAAACTTTGCTTCATCTGTGTCATTAAGGTCAGCTCTGCTGAGGAGTCAGCACTTCCACAGTTGTGTTTTGAGAGCCTTCCAACCTCAGGACTCAGCTTTGGGGGTACTATACCAGACAGTGTTCTGCTGATGTTGGCAAGATGTTCGGGGGCTAGCCATTCAGTAGTCTACCTCTTCTCCTTCCTAGTCTGTGTTAGTCTGGAAACACTGCTGAAATCTGTCCACCATGGGTAATTCTTCAGGTATTCACAATGCTGGTGGGCACAGCTGCCAGCGTCACAGCAACATGGGAGCCACCACAGTATGACAAAGTGATAGATGAGTGGTGGCTTAGTATCGTACTTCCCATACATAAAATGTACATGTCAGCACTCATGAAATAAACTGTTACATGCTGATATGAAAAATGTTTACATGTGTACTCTCAGAACTATTTTTCAGATGCTTCTACGGTGTGTAAGCCAGATTTTTGTCAGATTGGTCACGTAGCGTGTGGTCACTGCACAGATATTCTGTGCATGGGATGTACATTCCAACTCTGGCCTGCTGAGTGACATGAAGCTGCGAGTCTGTCCCTTCTGATGTGGTTGGTAGAACCCTCCTGGTGACGCTGAGGACTAAATGATGCCAGTGAAGCACCGCCGGAGTCTTCATCACTGCTGTTGTCGTGTTGTCTGTGTCCTCAGGTCTCCTCACCTGACAATTGCCACCCTGGACAAGACGTATCACCTGAGGAAGATGGCTGTGACAATGGTGGTATGCATGAAGACTTCAGGCAACTGAGACTGGAAGATGCAGGTTGGTGTGAAAATGAGATGTCTGTGTAATTGAGGATTAGATCGTCTGTGGCCTCCAATCGGCAGCGTTAATATTGCTTAGTGAATCTGATAAGTCCAGGTAACAATAGAGACTTGTTCTTCTGCTTTATGTTTACAAACGGAACTTTTTCTTGTGTCTAATTTACATATCTGTAAAATGTCTGCATTTTTATTTTGATTTGTCTGCTATGAAAAAACATTATGATCATTCCAAAAAGATACTTATATCAGCTTTTAATAAAGACTGTAATGGCTCTAACAATTTTCACAGTCATTTTGTGTAAAGATAAAATAGTCTCTTCAAAAAAATACAACTTACGGATCAGAAAAACTTAAAAGAGTCAGAAAAGCAGGCCACTCCATTTGAAACCACTTTTGTCCGTGGGCTGCTGAAAACTTCTTCTCAGAAACCCTCCCTTCCTGCTTGGCTCCCTCATTGCTGATGTCCGTGCTTAGATTTACACAGAGCACTGGTACTTGTCATAGTAATCCTTGGGTGTTTTTAGAGGGTGTAACAGTGCACACAGTTGGTAACTCCTGGTTTCTATTTCTTAGACAGCAGAAGTTGTCTAGAAATAAGTGAAGACTGGTTTGATGCTAAAGAGAACCTTACGGGAGGTGAAGTCTCTGGAATTCTAGAGAATCAGCTAGAACAAGACAGATGCAGCCCAAAGTGTACACCAGGTTGGTTCTTAGGAAACTGGAGAAATTGTAATCTTGCTCATTTACACAATAGTGATTATTTTCTTTGTTGGCGGGGGGGGGGTGAGTTGATTTAAAATTTTTCTTTATCAATAATGAGAAAACAGAGTATTTGGAGGTTAAATTCTTTAAAGCGTGAGTCCGTTGAGAACTTGGGCAGCATACACCGGGCATTTTGCAGGGAGTTGGCCTCCCGCATCCTCTCTCAGTGGAGCCCCCGTCATTGGTGTCAGTATCCTCTGGTGGTGGTTGCCAAGCTCCTTCAGGCAGTCTGTGTCTGTCTTAGGTTATTCTTTTCTGTATCACTTAGCCACTTAATATCTATCTTCTCATTTGGTGTGTTGACTGTCACCCTCACTAATTGTACTGAGCTCAGTGAAGTTGGATTGTGTGTGTGTGTTGTTCACAGCCCATCCCCCATGCTGGGTTTAGTGTATCTCCCCACCGGTGAGATACTCAGGAAAGCGGAGGTGCTAGGTACAGTGCACAGAGCATCTCTGGGTCTCATCATGCTCCTTTGTGCTGGACTACGGCTCCTCCTGTCCCTCGTCTCAAGGCACAGAGGGAGCCCAAAGACATGAGCAGGTCTCTCCCTGAAAGCAGGGCTGTGTTGTGCCCTAGTGATGCTGTGTGCTGGCTCTGTGACTTCATACTCGTCGGCCTCGGGACCCTCGCTGGGAAATGCCCTTGGTGGCAGTGCCTCCTCATAGGCACTTGGAGGATTGGTGGAGCTGTGAGAATAAGCGCCTGGAATACTGCCCATCCAGAATGCTAGGCTGCTACTAATTCATAAAAACTAAACTGTGCAAAGTCCTCATTAGTGTAGAGAAGTAAAAAACATAGAACCCTCTCCTAGAAGTCAGTCAACAGGTGTTTATTGAGTACCTCCACTGTGCCAGGGATAATGATAGTACTACTGAACGAATCTCACTTCAGTAAATTTTTGTCTCTTTTTGATCAGGTCTCTTGACATCAAAATAGAGGCTGTGATAGGAATGTTGATGTGTTTAATCCCACAGGAAAGCACTCGTCTGTCTATAGCTCTAGTATCTGTGGTTTTTAGGAGAAGCTGCGTGCGCTGCCGTGTTGCCTCTGACTCAGGAACCCTACAGGTCAGAGCAGAGCTGCGCACGCACAGGGCCTCCAGGGAAGCAGACTGCCCCATCTTTTTCCCATGAGGCAGCTGTTGGGTTTGAACTGCCAACCTGACACAGTGCACCACCAGGACTCTCTGTCCAGACTGTTGTTGTTGGACACTGTTGAGTTGGTTCTGCCTCGTCCACTCTGTGGCCACAGAAGGAAGCTCTGTCTCGTCTTGCAGCACCCACACAGTTGTTCCATTTGATCCCATTGTCCAGTCACTGAGTCCGTGGGAATTCTCTGTCTCTTCCCCTTTTTAACACACTTCACATTTTATCTTAAAAACAGCAATTCACTTTGGTCGTGTTTTGTTGTAGCTCACGTGTCTCCACTAGCAGAGATGAAGAGTGCTGAGCCCTTACGAAGAGATGAAGGGTATTTGGTCCACGTCGGTGGTCTCTGCTCTTTAGTGTCTGAGGTACGCTGGGATTTCATTTTCAAATCTGTTGTTCCTTTTAATTCTTTATTGTGCTTTTTTACCTGTAACAGATTCTATTTCTCTCTTTTTAGGCCGACTTAAGGACCCTTTTCCAGAAATACCAAGTTTCTGAGATTGCAATTTCTGATTCTTCTAATAATCACAGGTGTGTTTCCTAAATTCTAGCAGTGGTCTTTCCTGGGTGTCTGGTGCATGTCAGACTCAGTAGGAGACGTTAGCTGAGTGGGAAGCTCCCCACCGAGGCCATGGAGACCCGTGGACAGCCCTGTGGTTAGGTTAGCCCGCCCCGGATGCTGTCCTCGTGCTTATTTCGGTCATTTTTGACTTGGCCTCCCAGAGAGAGTTTTTGTTTTCTATGTTTGATCCAGTCTTTAACACTTCTCAGGGCAGGCATCAACTGTCCCTTACCTTTGCTGTACCTCAGGCTCTTCGTCTGTTAGATGAGGAGAGTCCAGGAGCTCCAAAGCCCTATGGGGCTGTCAGGAGTTAACCTGTGACACGTGAGAAACAAAGCCTGTGCACAGCAGATGCTCAGAAAGGTGCACTTGTTTTTATAGGTGATTTTAATCACTTTAGTTGATGCTTCTGCTTTGTTTGGGGGTTTTGTTTTTTCAAGTAGACAGCTGTGTCCTCTGCAAATAGTAATGTCCAGTACTTGCATTGCTACTTGCTGTTCAGTGACACGGCCAGAACTTTGAAAACTGCTGGTGATGGTGGTGATGCTGATGATGGTGGTCAGGTGTGGTCAGGGCGGGTCTGACTTACAGTGACCCTACGCAAACACTGCCCGCTCCCACAACGTCCTCACAGTTGTTGTTACGTTTGAACTCACTGTTGCTACCACTGTGCCAGTCCGTCTCCTTGTGGTGAGGGGAGCGGGGTGTCTCCTTTTTCTTCTCTGACCTCCACTTTACCACGCATGATGTCCTTCTCCAGGGACGGGGCCCTCCTGAGAACATGTTCAAAAAAGGAGAGGAGAGGCCTCCCCATCCTGGATTTTAAGAAGTATTCTGAATACACTTTTTTCTAGACAGATTTGTTCATTCTTCTGGCAAGCCATGGTCTTTCAGTATTCTTCACCAACATCATAATTCAAATATGAAATTATCAGATCATTTATAAGAAGTGTCGAATAAAACTCTATAATTTGCTTTTATTTCATGATCCGTAAATAAACATTAGTGATGTTTTTATTTCTAAGAGCAGTGGTTTTTATGGAAAGTATATTTTAGCCAGTAGTTAAAACAGTGAGTTTAAGGCAGTTACAGCCATTAACAAGAACCTTTTGGTTTTCTGCTTCGGGATTATAGATACGCATCTGTGTCATTTAAAAAAAGCATTGATGCCACCACAGCTGTGAAGGAAATGAATGGAGTGGAGATACATGGCAGGAAGGTGAATGTGCGGCTCGTGAAGCCTGGAGAGGCCGCCTCCCCACCGCCCTCCACAGACGGGCTCCAACTCCACCTGAATGATGTGGAGAAAAGCAGCAACAAGGAAGCCAACCTGGCTTCCTGCGTTTCTCGATTGCCTAGAACGAGAGCCAGGCAGCTGGGCTCCGAGGCACACAGTGAGTTTTCACCTTTCAACCAGAAGGTTAGTTGCTTTTGTCCATGTCAAATCACTGTAAGTAGCTTGTAGATAAATTACTCCAGTTTAGGCAATTTTGAGTCCTGGTGTGACACTGTAGGGTGTCACTGGACCACAACATCAGTCGTTCAAACTCACCAGCCGCTCCTTGGAAACCCTATACAGGATTGCTGTGAGCCGGGAACCAACTCAACAGCACTTAACAACAACAACAAAGCAATCTTGCAGTAGAAATGAGAGCATTGATTCTGGATCGGTCCTACCTTTAGATCTGCCTGACCTGCTTTTGCTAAACTCCTATTGTTGGTGATCTCTAGGAGAACTCTGAACTCGTTCATGTTAACATGGAGCTCGAGAACTGTAATCATGACTCTAACGAACTTCTTAGCCAGTGCTTTGCACTGTCCCTGTGTTCTGAGGTGGTCCTGCTCATTCAGTAGCTGCCATTCTACTCTCATCACTCCGGTTTTCACAGACCACCTCATCTCAGTGGTTTTTAAACCATATAAATATGGCAGTCATTCTAATAGAGCCTCATTTCAACCGCATTCAGGTTCTAACCAGCATGTTGGAAGTGGTAACGTTTGCCTGTTTATTCTTGTATCTCCAGAATACCTGGTGTAAAGTTGGCTTTCTGCAATTTTTCTTAAATTTTCATACAGAAAAAGTCACCCTTTTTAATGTCTGCACTTAGACAAATGTATATCCGCCTGCTACCACACCCACAATCAAGACACTAAGCACTTGCATCATTCCACACAAGTGTCTTGTGCTCTGAATCTCTCTCTCTTTCTCTTATTTTTTTTAATGTTTTATTGTGAATTATGTGATACTTTACATGGTAGAACATTAGTTTTACATTCATCCTGTCATATATCATTTCATTGCTTTGGTTACAATCTCCTCCATGCATCATCAACCAACCAAAGGGTAGATAACACTCACTACAAGCCTGCCCCCCAGTCGTCAGCACACAGCCCTTTTCCTTCTCTGGGTCTAAAGTCCCCAGCTGCTCCATCTCTCCACGTCTTCATCTCTGCCTCCATTGAATGCTCTCTTACTATGTAACTTTGTGGGTCTGACTTCTTCCACTCACCTTCGTGCATTTGAGGCTATATCCATAGTTCATTCCTGATCAAACCTTTGGCCCATTTTTACTGGGTTGTTTACATACATCCAAAATTCAGTACTGAGTTTTGAGAGTAAATTCTTCATGTAAGTTCTTTGACAAGTATGATTCACAGGTGCTTTCTCCCAGCCTGAGCCTTGCCTCTTCCTTCTCTCAACAGCATCTTTCTCAGAGCATACGTTTTGAATTTGGATGAAGCAAAATTTATCACTTTTTCTATTATAGATTGTGCTTTTGGTGTTATGTCTAAGACATAATGCAAGGTCACAGATTTTGAATTAGTTTTCGTGTAATGTGTGAGATAAGTGTTGAGGTCTTTTTGTTTTGTTTTGTTTTGCACTTGACTGTGTAGATTGTAACAAATTATGGTTGTTATTGCAAAGAATTGGAATCCCAGAACACTTCAGTGTTTGTGCAGAACCTGTACATAGACCAAGAAACGGTCATTAGAACAGACCATGGGAATACTGTCAGATTTAAAATCAAGAAAGGTGTGCGTCAGGGTGGTGCCTTTTCAGCACATTCCTTAAATCTGTAAGCTGTAAGAGTGGCAAACAAGGACATTCCCCCACGATTAAAGGGTCAGTTCAGCAACAGAAATAACCATAGTAAATATCTGTGCTCCCAATGAAAGAGCCTCAAAATACATAAACTACAATAAAATTGAAGAAAGAAATAGACAACTGTACAATAGTAGTAGGAGATTTTAGTACGGCACTCTCGATAAAGGACAGAACACTTAGAAACTCAGCAGAGACACAGAAGAACTAAATAACACATCCAGCTGGACCTCATAGATACATACAGAGCACTCAACCCAACAACAGCACAATACACATTCTTTTCCAGTGCATGTAGAACATTCTCCACAATAGAACATATGTGAGGCCACAGAGCAAGCTACAATACATTTTTAAACATAGAAATACTATAAAGGATCTTTTCAGATGATAATACTGTAAAATTAGAAACCAAATAATAGAAAGGTCATAGAAATCGAGTAACACTCTGCTTAAAAAGCTACTGGATAATGATGTTGTTAAGTGCCATCGAGTCAATTCTGACTCATAGCAACCCTGTTTAGGGCTTCTGAGGAGCAGCTGGTGAGCTTGACCCACTGACCTTACAGTTCAAAGTGACTTTGTAGTCCAGCGCATTAACCCACACCACCGCACCACCACACCACCACACCAGGACTGGGTACTAGAACAAATAAAAACTGAAATGAAAAAATTCCTTGAGTCAAATGGAAACAAAAAAACAACGTAAGAAAACCTTTGGGACACAGCAGAAGGAGTACGTAGAGGGCAATTTATGGCCATAAATACACACATCCAGAACCAGCATCAACACACAACATCTCCAACAACTAGAAAAAGCCTAGCACAGGAAGACTATAGTCACCAGAAGAAAAGCAGTAATACAGATTAGAGGGAAAATAAATGAATGAGAAAACAAAACAATACAATAATAAATCAGCAAGACAAGAAGTTGGTTCTTTGAAAGGATTAATAAAATTGACAAACCAAGCAAAAGGCCATGTAAATAATATACATGAGAAACAATATGAGCCAATAGAAAGAAAAAGAAAATGCTATGAAGAATTGTACTTCAATCAATTTGAAAATATAGAAACAATAGATGTATTTCTTTAAAAGACATGACCTACCTAAACCAATACAGAGTGAAGTACAAAATTTAAACAAACCTAAAAAAAAAAAAAAAAAGAAAGAAACATTCTTTGATGATTCCCAGGGTGGGAGGGTATGGAGAGTAAATCACTGGCTAGAGAAAGATAGTGTTAATTCGGGTGATAGGAGGGCAATATACAACAAGGGGGAGGAAAATATACAATAGGGAGGTTGGCAGAAGAATGATGAAGACAGGTGAAGACACAGGGAGCTATGCAAGGGCTAAAAGGGAGCAGTAGTGTTCTGTGGGATAGATATGTATATATCCCACAAATAGTTTAAAAGGGGGTGTTTATACATGGGTAACCGCTGGGAGGTATGGCACTGTGGGTTAATAAGCCAGACTGCAAAGCCATTTGAACTGCAAGGTTGGTGGTTCAAGCTCATCAACTGCTCCTCAGAAACCGTATACAGGGTCACTATGGGTTGGAATCAGCTCGACGGCGCTTTACAACAAGAACATCAACCACTAGGAGGAAGCAGGCGACTATTACTGCAATCATTGAGTTGAAACAAAGTATATGATTTGTTGTATGTAAATCTGATGATCTTGTCTGTAAACGTTCACCCAGTTCATAATAAAAAGTTTAAAAATCTGCTGAGCGAATTATCTGAAAGTTGTACTATATGAAGAAGAACATGGCATCAGGAATGGAGGAAAACTCATAACCACCTGTGATATACAGATGACAGACACAACCTTGCTTGTTGAGTACAAAGAGGACTTGAGCATTTACTGATAAAGGCCAAAGACTACAGCCTTCTGTGTGGATTATGCCTCAACATAAAACAAAAATCCTCACAACTGCACCAATAAGCAACATCACAATGAATGCAGAAAGGATTGAAGTCAAGGGTGTCATTTTACTGGGACCCATAATGAATACTCGTGGAAGGAACCATCAGAAAATCACATGACACATTGCATTGGGCCAGTCTACTGTACAGCACCCCGTTCCTTCATTCCACAAGTAGTGTGCTTACCTACCGTGTGCTCCTGAGAAGGCGCCAGTGAGCAAGACAGGCTGTGCTCTAATGCCCCTGCAGTATAGTGGGGCCTCTTCACTCTCCAGTCTGCTCTTCCTGCCATGACCTGGTCTGGCACTGGCACTGCCAGCGTAGGATTTAAAGCTGACTTGGCTGATGAATTACTCTATCACTTGTCCTTTGTTTTGGTTCTTGAATTGGATTTGAAGCTGGGTAAATGGAGTGGGCCGTATTTTCCATGGCTGGTTTTCTCCACCACATGTGGCACTGTCTGGGCATATAGTTTGTGTTCATTTTGTATTTAGTGACGAGGCTGTAGAATGCTGATGACTACCATTTAGACAGAAGGGTGAAGGACCTGAACCTTCATGCTCTGAGCTTGAAGCATGCACTGCATGTTGCAGATTCACTTGTCTGCATGTAGAATGCACCTATTTTGTGCTGTCTTTGGAGAGCACTTGGGAGAGCTGAGAAAACTGCGGTGGTGTCTGTTCTGAGGGACACCCGTGACAGCAGCATGCTCAGCATAATTTTGAAGACATGGACCTGTACACAGTCCAAGTCAGTCTCCTTGGTCTGGATTGTTCTACATCACAGTAAACTTATTAGGAATTTTAATTTTGCTGTTTACAATTTTAAAGCGTGTTTTACTTGGGTAAGCTAGATTGTCTCTATGTAGTGATCTTTATTTACGGATTTTAATAAAGCTTTAAAAATGCTTCTTTAGGGTGTCCAGAAGAACTGTAAAGAGACGAAATCCACTGGATTACTACCTCGTAGATCTGATCACTTCACACCTCCAAACACTTTGAACCTGCGTAGCTTTACCAAGATCCTGAAGAGACTGACTGAGCTGCACCCAGAAGTCAGCAGGTAATGAGTGAAATGGTGTTTTCACTGGTTTTAAGCTTTTCTGCAAAGATACAGCTCCATTCAGTAGCCATGCCCTGTTGTGAGTGTGTGCCTTCGGGAGGACAAATTGGCTGTGTGTCTCTTCTGCAGAGACCACATCATTGAGGCCCTTCAGGAAGTGAGGCTGAGTTGCAAAGGATTCCTGAACGGCTTGTCCATTAACACTATTGTGGAGAAGACGTCTTCTGTTCTGAAAAACTCTACTTCCATTTAGGAATGACAAGTACTGAAGAGGTGAGCTGATGGCAGTCTTGTATGGTTAAGTTTACTTAGACATTTTTAAGCTATGGATTTTATTTTCACATAAAGTAGCTGTGGCGGTGTGCTGTGGAGTCGGTTCTGACGCAGCAGCCCTGACTAGGCTTCTGAGGCTGTGCAGCCTTAACAGCGGCAGAAAGACTCCGCGTTTCCCCTGACCTTAACAGTTTGCAACCAATTCATAACCCAGCACACTAGCAGGGATCCTTAAAAATGCCGTTTTATAACCACTATATGTGTTGTTATCGGTGCTGTTGAGTCAGTTCCTATACAGGGGTTTCCAAGGAATGACTGGTGGGTTTGAACTACAGACTTTGCCGTTAGCTGTCTAGTGCTTAACCTACAGCACCACCCCACTGTATTAGAGTAGTTTGAATAACTAGCCTGTCACCATGTTAGCCATCAGTTTCTGTGGGTTAAGATTCAGGAGCCCCTTTGCTGAGTGGGTTTACCTCCAGGCCACATACGACTGTCATTTGGGCTATGGGCACGTATGTGCAGGCGAGACTCTGGGTCTGCTGCTAAGATTCCTGGATTCCAGGGCTGTGGGCAGGACCCCTCCGTCCCTCGCCACACAGGCCTCTTCATCACATTGCTTGAGTGTTTCCATTGTGGCATCTGGCCACCCCTAGAGCAGGCGACACCCAAGAGCACAAGGTGGGAGCTCCCCGGTCTTGTGTGAGCCGCCCTCGGAGTCACATATCCTCATTCTGCCACGTTCTCATTAGATGTGAGTCACTGTGTGGCCCACACTCGAGGGGACATCAGTGTGCACACTTTAAAATTACCACCAACAAATGTAATATCCTTGTTACAAAATGATGGGTGGGCGGGCCCTCTAGTTCCAGTTCTAAATAGCTAGGTGATTCAAGCCAACTTTCCATGGAGAACAATCAGAAAAGCTAATAAAATGTGAAGAACATGGGCTTGAAGGCATTGGCGAGCTGACAAGACTAATGATGGAGTGCAGGCAGGGCACAGAGAAGATGCATCTTTGGGAGGTGTGCCCAACGGGGGCCAGGGACCACTTTTACCCTGGAATTGTTTGTGCAGGGGCAAGGAGGAGTTCGAGGAGCTCCTCTGATCGCTCCAAGCTGAGGGAACAGGAATAGAGTGCCCTGACTTGCCAAGGGGGTATAGGGCCTTAAACTTCAGGGACTATGGTGGTTGTCCCAAAGGCCTGAACTGTAGGAGCAAGCTAAACCCAAAAGGAGATCGTTTCTCAGAGGTTGTGTCAGTCAGCTTCACACAATGTTCCCTCAGTCGGATTGAAACTCTTACCCGGTCGGTAGTCCCACCAGGTACCTGGAAGACATGAAGGTAAGGATCTTCCAGAAGGAACAATACCATTTCCCATCTTTCTTCTTAAGTTATTTCTGCCAGTCATTCTATAAAATACCATTTGTAAACCTGAGTGTATAACCCAAAGTAGCTAACCATAAGGGAAATAAGGGCCACATGCGTGAAAAACTGGCAGAAACATTAGATGCTAGAAACAAATTCCAGACTCCAGATCTGGAAGTGATCAAATACACTTTTAAGAAAAAAATGTTTACAAAAATGGCCACAATGATTCCCTTCCTTATCCACGCTCCTTTGCAGTGGGACTTTACAGCACTTCCCATCAGGGTAGAGAGTCTGTGGTCCCACCTCCTTCTGACTTGCTTAGACAGGTTGGGCCACTTGCAAGTCTAGTCTTCAAGAGCCCTTGCTCACTCTGCTTGCTCTTGGACATTTTTCATCATCGTATGAAGAAGCCCAGACTGCCCTAAAGGGTGGAGCGGAGCCCAGGATTCCAGCCCGCTGACCCCAAACCCAGCCTCCATCAGCAGGCCTAGCCACAATGAGGAGAGTCACTCAAATGAGTCCAGCCAGGTTACCAACAGGCAGAATTATAGATTCTGTAAAGGGCTGTTGTCTGAAGTTACTAAGTTTTACAGGTAGCTTGCTACACAGCAAAAGCTCTGTGATTCAGATGTATTATGTTCAAGATGATAAGGCTTGAGAGTTTTAGTAGAGAATTGAAAGGTGTTTTTTTTTTAATGGAGATTCCCTTAATGAAAAATAAAGTTTAAAATTCAGGTTCTACAAAAGATAAGACAAGTATCTGCAGAGAACTAGAAGCATAGATCAGAAGTAACCGGGGTGAAGCCCAGAGGTGAAAGATTGGAAGACAGAAGAGAAGCTAGGAAACATGAAGATGTAGGGAAGGGGGAGGAGAGAGAAGATAAAGTAGACACAATATGTGAAAAAAATATAGTCAGATTCTTTTAATGGTGAAAAGTAGCAAATCACAAATTCAGTGAAGCTTCTTCAATTCCAAAGATGAAAAATAAAACGACAGTACATCAGAAGAAAAGTGCTTGAAAAGTAAAACAAAAAAGAAAATCTAAAATTGGAACCCTTGCCTTTTGCTGGTACAGCTGTTAATGGGAAACAGTGTGACAGTTCCTAAAAAAAAACAACTAAAAATAGGACCACAACCTGAGCCAGCAATTCCACTTCTAGGTCCATGCCCAAAAGACTGCAGCTCTATTCACAACAACCAAAAGGTTGGAAACAACTGCTGATGTCCATTAGCACATGAATGGATCAACAAACTGTGATACATGCATGTAATGGAGTACTCCGCAGCCAATAGCAGAATAAGGCCTTGATGCATGCTACAACATGGAGGGAGCTGAACGGCATTACCCCGAGTGAAATGAATCAAATACAAAAGGACAAATATCGTACAGACCTCACTTATATGAAAAGGGAAATATAAAGAGGACAAAGTATCGGCTACCTAGGGAGGGGAGAGGAAATTAATGGTGATGGGAATATCAGCACCAAATAAGGGTAGGGCTGCACAGCCAGTTGTCCCAACTGCTGTCAAAGGGTACACATGTGGAAAAAAGATGAGTCATTGAGGCTGCTTATTTATGACCAAAAACCTCGTAGGATTTAGTTTGGAGGTTTAGTGTCATGGGACATTCCAATTAATTGGCCCAGTAACATGTGTAGTTGACTTTCTAGTTTGTAACCTAGCGTCCAGAGTCTTAAAAGCTTGTAAGGGGACAAAGTCCAGTTGATTTCTGTTCACTTGGAACAACGGGAAGTTACCTCCATGAACAGCTGTTGCCTTTGCCATGAGACCAGAAGAAGTGAATTACTGAACATTTTGATCAAAGAATCCATAGAATGATCTTGTTCAGAGGAGGAAAGTGTGGATCAGATTTTAAATTTTCCTGGACTCTAGATTTTCTGGAGCCATGAAAGCTGGATGAACCCCTGAAACTATTGCCCAGAGATCATCTTCAAACCTTAAACCAAAAATATCTTCTGAAGTCATCTTCAAACAGCCACTTCCCTTAACTAATACAGGAGGTCAGCCTTGAGCATCAGGCTCCTTCAGGATCTGTCTCTATGGAAGCAAATTACCAGCAGCAACTCTCAGAGATGAGACAGGAGCCTGAAGGGGCGTGAGTTTATGTTCATGAGGGAGAAACAACTCGGGGAAGCAGGCTGAGAATGGTTGTACAACTTAAAGGATGTCACCAGTGTCACTAAATGGTACCTGTACAAACTGTTCAGTTGCTGTTTGTTTTACTAGGTATATTCTCAACAACAAAATTATTTTTTGTGAAAAGTATAGAACCAGTGCAAGGGAAAATACATTACCGTGGAACTCAAACTGGCATGAATCTCTGTAGAAACGAGAGATGCCATCAAATGATTGTACAAACTTAGGGTTTTATGCCCAGGAAAAGAGTCTTCAAGAATAAATGTGAAGCAAATTTATTTCCCACTCAAATAAAAACGAGAATAAATGGTTATTTCAGTAGAAGACCCACTCTAAAGAAAATGCTGAAGAGTGTTTTCTCGGAAGTAGGACATTGGCCTTTGGTGAAAGGTTAGAGCTCAGCTGCTGTCTGAAAGGTCCATGGTTGGAAATGAACTGGTGATCTGCTGCCATAAAGATGTTGCTGTTAAGTACCATTGCATCGGATCCGACTCATAGTGGTCCTGTATGAAGACCCTGTCTCCAAGAAGCAGCTGGTAAGTTTGAACCACCAACCTTGCGGTCCAGTGCTTTATCCTGCAGCATCATTCTCTGTCATACAGGGTCGCTATGAGTCGGAGTTGACTTGCCAGCACACCGTAACTACATTTTGTGGAGGATTTCTCAGGACTCAGCGTGTAGCTGTACACGCTGCTGTATTACCTTGAGTGCACACAGCAGAGGGAGCGGTGTGTCGGATGAAGTCCAGGGGAACCCAGTCCAGGCATCCAGTGGGGGTCACACAAGACCTGAGTGTGACAGCATGTCTACAGGGGGGAAATCCAATAGAGACTGAGTACCAGTACCCTCTGGCTAGCACCCAGCAAAGTGCCAGATCCCAGAAGGAAGAATGGTGTGCAGTCTGCTGTGGGAAGCTGTAGGTAGCAGAATCTGCTAAGAAGAATCTTCATAGTGGAGTCAGGTGAATCCTGAAAGGAAAATGTGAAAGAAAGCAGGGGACTCCCATACTAATGTAGTGTTGGGGTGGTGTAATAAAAATAGAGGCATAAATGGACAGATTAAAAGTACTTAATAACATGGTAGAAACTCAGTTATATCAGTAATTAAATATAGATGCAAATGACCATTGTTGTTGTGATGTGCTGTTGAGTCGTTTCCAACCCATAGTGACCCTGTACAGGGTTTCCAAGGCTGTAAATCTTTACGGGTGCAGAATGCCTCATCTTTCTCCCACAGAGCAGCTGGGAGTTTTGAACTGCTGGCCTTAAGGTTCGCAGCCCAATTCATAACCACTATGCTACCAGAGCTCCTTACTAAATATAGATGAGTCTTATTAAAAACTAAGACTGTCGGATTAGATTGAAAAATTCAATTGTAGAGAATTTCTATAGACAGATCTAAAACATTAAGATATCAAAAGAATGGGGAAAGAAATTGCTGCTATGTTATTG